TGAACACCTTCAAGAGCAAACTGGATGCTTATCTTGCTGGGATCCTATGACCCCAGCTGACTTCCTGCCCTTTGGGCGGGGGGCTGGACTCGATGATCTTCTGAGGTCCCTTCCAGCCCTGATGTCTATGAAATCTATTAAATGTATGAAATGTGCAGAACTAGAGCGAGCTAGCATGCCAACACCTACTCTCAATGACTGAAACCCTCTTTGCATGACATTCATACTTCATTGCCTGTCCAGCCCTCATCCTGCAATTTTAGATTTAGTTTACTATAAATGAAGAGTCAGTGGGTGCATCTACATCTGCACTTCACTGCTGAATAGACTAATTAGCTCTGTAGTAAAGTGTCACATGGTGTGGGTAGACAAAATGGGGGGCCTAAGTTGAAGTGGTGGGTTTAATCATACATCCTACTGACTAACCTGCCTCTCCGGTAGGGAGGGGAGGGTGAACTGCTGGCAGGCAGAGCATTCCCTGGGCTGCGGGTGGTGGCAGGGTGCTGGTGCTTCCATCCGCAACAGCAGCAGCCTCCCACGCCAGGCAGCACATGCCTGCAGGCACCCGGCTTGAGCACTTCTAGGGGCACCACAGCTGCAGAGGGAAGCACCAGGCCTCCTCCATGCAGCTTAGGCAGGCTCCGGGGAGTGGGGGGCAGGAATCAGACTTGCTGCTTTTCTTGGGCAGAACCTGCTTCCCGGGGCTGCTGCCAGCCTGCCTGCAGGGCTTCCTGCAGAGCCATGGAGCTGCATGGAGCCCAGTGCTTCGCTCCGCAGCTGTAGGGGCAGCAAACTAAAACTCCTTGAAGGAGTTTTAGTTTGCTGTGCCCCGAGTCATTTAAGGTTCATTACACTGGCGAATTTCCTACGGTGGTCAGAATTAATGCACAATATGTCACGGAGGAGTGCAAACACCAACACCATTTAAGTCATGCAAAAGCATTTAGCCCACTTTAAAGTGTTGTGCACATATGCCTCTTGTTTCATCTACACATGGCCCCAGTCTACATGTGCACCGGTGCTAGGGCATAGTAAACTTCTTATCTCTGCCATAGGATAACACTGTCAGGGACAGTACAAGCTTATGGCAGAGGATTTTACTGTGCTGAAAACCATGTGTCGATGCTCATAGAGCTCCATAAGCTGTACCTGCAGTCAGGCTTCTTCCCGCATCCTGGCTTAGGGAGCTCCTGCCTCTCTGGCTGCTGGCAGGGAACTGCCAGCCTGGCCTCAGCCCCGGGCTTTATGAGGGCCAGGCCCTGCCCCTTCCGGTCAGCTGACCTCCTGGTTGCCCCGGGCAACTCACAGCTGTGCTCCTTAGTCCCTGCCAGGGCTCTCTCCCTGGCAGTTTCCCCTCTCTAGGAGCAGAGCACCGAGGTGCCCTGCGACAGTGACTAATTACACTGTCTCGTTCCAGAAGGATGACACACCCATATACAAATGGCACTTAGGCTCATGGAAGCCAATTACTTCTTGACCCTCACCTTGTAGGAAATATAAAGTGTGTATAAAACACTATGACTAACAACTGCAGAGTGACTGAGAAGATGGAGTACCTACTAATGAGACATTCAAACGGTTTACACACATTTGGAAGTCTCAGCCATGAAAATTGTGTTTAAATATGTCAAAAGTTACTGGAAAGAAGAAGATATATATTGTTCTCCAGGCTCGATGAGATAGGACAGAACATAATTGTCTGAAATATTCAGAAAATGCAGTTTAGGTTAGCAATGGGGAGAAAAAGGAAACACCTGTAAAAATAGCAAAACATTGAAGTAGATTTACTGGTGGGGTGGGGAGGCTGATGACTTTGACACATCTGGCTTACAAAAAGGATCTTGTGGGACAAGTACCTACATGCTTTTGAGGGTCAGACAGACCTTCCTGACACCATTCCTGGCAACTGAATTCCTCACACAGAAGAGGTTGGCAATGGGCTGGAGACAA